TGTGTGTGTGTGTGTGTGTGCGTGTGTGCATGTGGGTAAGTGTATATCTATGTGCATGTGTATGTATGTGTGTGAGTGTGTGTTTTATACTTTACTTCTATCAAACAGCTGACAGTCCACCAACAAACACTTACAATCAATTCAGCAAACACCGGGCACAACTTGCGACCCTCCTCCACACAACTGCTGTCCAGGTTGGGAAGCGCCACAATCTTGACCAGCTGGAAGTCGTCCTGATCGATGACGTCGTTGAGAACATACTGGAACACTTTCACGTCCCTGGTCAGCTGGGTCTGAGCTCGACTCACCGCGTTGGATACCGCCCCGATCTTTTTGGTGATGTCGGAAGCAAATTCGTCGAAGTTGTCTCCGACAGATTTGATCTGTTCACAAATTTAAAAAAACAAACCAAAAAAAACAATTCTTTTAATAATGAGGACAAAGTAAAAAGACAATTGTATCACAATGCTACGAAATAAATCTCCAGTCACACTCAGTTCTGTTAAGATTTCAGGCAAAACTTTGATTTCCCTAAAACTGTGTTTCTAACTCCAAAGTTTCTTTTTAGTTTTAGTAAGAGTTTTACGGCACTTGCAACACAATAAGGTCATATAAGTGCCGAAGATCAGAGGCGTTATAAGAGAGTAACAAACACAAAAAAGAAGGGGGAGAGATAAAGACGATAGATGTTTGATAGGAAAGAAGAAGCAAACCACACCAGAGCACCCGCCAACCACCCACCCAAAGTTTCTGGATCACTAACAGCAACTCCAAAGTTTCAAATGGCTATGACTTTGGAACCAAGGAGCAGGACTATGTAGTTTTCATCCACTTTTAGGGCTTGAACAGTTCTTTAATTTGATACCCACGAATTTAAAAAGTAGTTGATATGTAGGCCTATGTCATTTACGATTTATGCTGCTGTCATGGTAGTCTCTTCTGTAAAATTTGTGTATTGGATGGATTGTGAGCCAACGGCCCTATACATTGAATAAACACTTACTTACATACTTTGACACCCATTTTGTTTATATAGTCAAAATGTGATATGCGAGCATTTTGTCATGTTGCTATAATGCACTTTAGCGTTTTTCGGAGTGTAGAGTCTAGCACCCAGGAAACGAATTCACATTAGAATGAGGACATGAGCTGAATAACAAGAAAAAAATTATTAAGTCTATAGAGTCTACTTTCAATCAGGGTCATCTGCTATGTAAAACCAATCTGGATCTATCATTATTACTATAACACGTTATTTCTATTTTGCAAAGGCTACAAAATAATTGAAACAAAAACAAGACTTGAAGGGATTAGACTAATAATGGACCTGAACACCAATAAAGGAAAGAAAATAGATTACGGTGTTATCTTACATATAAAAAAGTACTGGCATTATAAAGAGACCCCACTGAGAAAAAAATTAAGGACTTTTAAAAATCTCCCAGCGCCAGTGTATTGTCCACTGGCATTTAACTTCTATTCAACTTCAACTTCAACGGATGACAACATTAAAGAATAATCAAAAGTACACAGAAATGGCAGATTTTTAATGTGTCTGCCTCCTCTCTCTCTCAGTCTCTCTGTCTCCTCTCCAAATCCTTCTCTATTCCACCTCTCTCCCATCTGTAGTTAAAGAAAAAATGAAATCAGACCGCACGAAAATCCCTCTCTCTCTCTTTCCTTTCATACCCCTGACCCCCTCATCTGCAAACAAATTTAAAGAATAAAATTAGACCTGTATGAAAATCACTCTCCCCATCACCACACCCCCCCCCCTCCACACACACACACACACATACCCCTCCCCTCATCTGCAAACAAACAACAATAAAATATCAGACCAGTATAAAAATCCCCTTCCGCTTCTCCACAATCATGATGTCAATCTCTCTCTCTCTCTCTACCACCCTCCCTCAACACCTCAACACTCCCCCCTCCCCCCAATCCAGAGACAGAGAAAATAAGTATAAAACCAGACCTGTATAAAAATCACCCTACGCTTCTCCACAATCATCATGATGTCGATCTCCCTCTGTCTCCCCTCATCCGGAGACAGAAAACACAACTAAGAATTAAGAATCCGACCTGTATAAAAATCACCCTCCGCTTCTCCGCAATCATGATGTCTATCTCCCCTCTGTCTCTGTCTCTTTCTCCCACCCTCCCTCAACTCTGCCTCCCCCATCCTCACTCATTGCTGCCCAACCCCCCCACCCCCAATCTTGAGACAGAAGACCAAAGAATAAAATATCGTATCCGACCTGTATAAAAATCACCCTCCGCTTCTCCACAATCATGATGTCGATCTCCCCTCTGTCGTAGCCCGAGCCAACAGGGAAGTGAATGGCCTCCTCCCCCTCCGCCTCGATCTTGTGCTTGAGCCGCGACAGGTAGTTGTCGTACTGGTACGAGGAGATGATAAACATGGGCCCGTACGGCGTGCTCTCCAGGTGGGCATGGCTCAGGTACTCCACCACCTCCAGGAGGAACACGTGGGCACGGTCTCCGCGGGCGTCCGTGATCTGGTGCTGGCAGAAACCTCCTCCGCCTGCACCCCCGCCGCCACTGCCCTTCTTTCCGGAGGAGCCTTCCTCCTGAAATACGGAAAGAAACGATTGTTGCAGATATTAAGAATTATAATAATAAAATATAGCATATGTGAGGCATCGTGGTGAAAACAGGCGCTCGTCAAAATTTTTCACCACGCCTGATAAAATAATGAAATCAAAGAAATCTGGATTTTCCTTTCTGCCGTAGGGCAAATTTTTTTACATTTTCTTTTTGGGCTCAAAACCTTTTATGTCCATGTAAAAACACATTTCGGTGCGGATTTTAATGAAAAACTTTGATTAAAGGCATAAAAAACGTAAATTTCCCGTTTAATTTTTAGTAAGAGTTACAACACAAAAAGGTCATATAAGTGCCGAAGATAAGAGGTGTTACAAGAGAGAAACAAACACAAAAGAGAAGGAGGGGAGACAAAGAGGATAGATGTTTGATAGGAAAGAAGGAGCAAACCACACCAGAGAACCCACCAACCACCTACAAAACAATCATTGCAGGTGTTGGTAATAAATAATAAAAAATAGCCTTTGTGAGGCATCGTGATGAAATCAGGGGCTCATCAAAATAATGAAATCAAAGAAATTGGCATTTTTTTAGGGGGGGCTGTTGGGCAATTTTTTTCTACTTTTCTTTTTGGGGGGGGATCAAAACCTTTGATGTTCATGTAAAAACACATTTCAGTGTGAATGTTACTGAAGAACATTGATTAAAGGCACAAAAAATGTAAATTTTCAGTTTCCAAGGACTCTCAGGCTATGGAAGTTACCAAACTTTAGTGGCCATTTTCTATCTAATTTTACCTCAGAAACCAAGCAAATATTTCGACTACTATTAAACATGGATATCTTTTTCACCAAAAGCAAGGCAAATGAACAGGCTTTAAGATGATACCAATAACCCCATATGCCCCACGTCGTGACACATTTGTATAGTGCTTTTAATTACCGCATGTTGTTGTGGTGGTGATGCTGGTGGTAGTGGTGGTGGTGGTGGTGGTAAAGATCCCGTATGATCATGAGTATATTGTACATTTGACACAAAAGACCTCTGACCTTTCCCTTGTTGATGTGTATGGGCGGCACCTTGAAGGATGTCATTGTTGTTGTTGTTGTTATGGTTGTTGTTGTTGTTGTAGCGATAAACAGTCAGTATGGAGGGGGGGGGGAGTTAGACTGTCATAATTGTAATATTATGATCATGAGTGTATTATTCTGCTTTTTGCACAAATGACCTCTCACCTTTCCCTTGTTGATGTGAATGGGCGGCACCCTGAAGGTCGTGACCCCGATGTCCGGGTACCACTTGTCCGTGTTCTCCTTGAAGAAGTCCACCAGCAGCTTCTCCTTGACCTTTCCCCTCTCTCCATTCACCCCCATCATGCTCACCACCTTCTCTTGAACTTTCAGATCCTGAGGAGGGAGGGACAGAGATAAAGTTCATGCTGACAACCACCTTAGAAAAATAATGCCAGCAATATTTACAGAGAAAATACAATGGCTATGATTCATAAATATTGGCGCATCAAATTTGTGAACAAAAAACAGCTTTTCACTAGTATTAAGAGAATAAAAATGTGTTATTACTTACAATCAAATTTTGCTCCTCCTTCTTTTCCTTCTTCTGTCTTTTCCCAGCGGATAACGGCTTGCCAGACCCAGACTGAGCAGAGGACGGTTTCTCATTCTGTCCTCCTCCTCCTCCTCCTTCCCCTCCGGCTGATGCTGCTGCTCCATCAGGAGGTTGCTCTTCCCCTCCTCCATCAGTTTTCACTTTCTTTTTCCGGGTTCCTTTTTTCTTGTTCTTGTTCCTACAACATAATAATGCAAAAAAAGACAAACATGTATGTGTGAAAAACTGCCACTTCAAAATCTGGTCTGTCTATACTCTATGCGAGGAGAGTGCTTTGTTTTAGTAGAGGTTTTTCAGCGCTCGCAGCAGCATAAGGTCATGTGAGCGCCAAGGGGTGGATGTCAACAGAGAAGTCCTTACAGGGAATCGAGCTTACTCTGCTCACCTCTCTAGCTTCAACAGCAGAAAGTCTGCTTCGACTATCAAGGCACCCTGGAATTAGCAGGTCACAACAGAGTGACAAACATACAAAAGAAGTAGAGGGGAAATGACGATAGTAAGGATGAGGAAAGAAAAAGAACCAGTTCCCTGTTGTAGTTCAGGCACAGTTATGAGCGTGACATGGTTGGATCAGCCCATTTACAATTATTTAACAATTCTTCTGTGCATAAGAAAAAAATGTTCCCCCATTGGGAATGGCTTAAAGTCACTTTAGTCAGTAGCAATGCCCCAGGGGGTTATGTGCCCGCTTTCCAACCACCCATACTATGGTTTAATAGTAATAGGCATCTACAAAGCCGAAAATAAATAGGACGCAACAGTGGCACCCTGTAACAACCCGCACAAACGGCAAGCCATTCATCATCACATAGACATACATAATATTATTTATTGTTATAGGCGTTTACAAAGACGAGAAAAAGAAGGACGCGCACCAGT